ACATGGCAGCACCCTGTGAACTACAGAGGAAAAAAAGTTCAACCTTAAATTAACCCACTCATCACTAGCTCTGTTTGATGCTTACACATCAAACAATGTTCAGGAGGCTCTTTTATTTGCCTACTATAACCATGATCATTGTCATTATTGTTTCTTCCTTCTCTTGACTGCTGTCTGTGTGTAACAGCGGCTCACTGGATACACAGACGACGAGTGTTGTTTTTCTTGTTGCTGTATTTGTACTATTTACTAAAATAAAAAAGCTGATTGTGTGTGATTTGAACTGCAGGTCTGTGTTATTTCTTTCATTCTTAGTCCTATTGTTGGGATATTGATGCAGTCTTTAACCTACACAGCCACTTTGATAATGATGAACAACCGCCTGCTAACCTGTAGTATCTTTTTAATGGAGAGGGAACATGCTTCTGCACCATCATATAGCATTTAGTGACAAAGGCCTAGAAAGAGAATTTAAGGAAAATAACAGAAAGATTTAGGCTCTTGGTGAGTTTACTGTAACACTCCACTATGTTTAAACGGTATTAAGTGCAATTTCTTTTTAAACACACATTACTAAAATGTGCACCAGATGAAATTACCCTTCACTGTGTGTGCATGTCTGTGTAGGAATGACTCAGTGCTTCTTTATATTAAGTCCTACAGAATCAGGCTAATGGTAACTGTAGTTTTCTGTACATGCTAGACTTAAATGCAGACAATTTTCTCAGCAGTATCTGATGCATCACAAAATTGTTTTGAAATAAGTCTGAAGGAGAGTTTATTTAACCATGGAAAATTACATAGCACCACAGCTCTTATGGCATCACCTGTGCTTCTGTGTAGTCTCTGTGTGCAAGGTTGTATATTTAAACATATCATCTCACAATTTCAGCAACCCTCATCTCTAATTAACCATACATGCCCAGTCTCCTAATGAATTGATGTTAATGTTAGATGATTCTTCAACACAGGATTTCTGTCTGCATTCAGTGAGAAATGCAAGATATCGTGCCACCTTATATAACAAAGTGAAAAGTAAGGTTGTGGCTGGCGATGTTTACTGATTTTGTAACCATAGATAAATCATCTTAACTACATCCTAAAGTCATGTGTGATCCAGCACCTTTAATTTTATGGTGTCAAGTGTTATCGTTAGGTGTCAGTATATGGGAGTATCAGTCACAGGAAGCACTCTGCATTTCGATGAATGAGTGCTATGGTGAAAATACCTGGGAAGTCCACATTTCCCCAGATGAAGCATCAACAGTAAAGAAACCTCAGTTTATGTTCCGCTACATACAATTATCCATCTATTTTCTTCCACTTGTCCGGGGTCGGGTCGTGGTGGCAGCAGGCAGAGCAGGTCATTCCAGAGAACGCCACAAAATGCTGAGAATTCAGACAAAACTCTCACTTTGTTTGTACAGGGACCACATGGCTCGTGTCAGCAAACCTGGTACCCTATACTCCCTCAGTACCCCCTCAGGGAACACAGTCGTAGGTCTTCTCCAGATCCACAAACAACATGTGGACTGGCTGATCGAACTCCCATGCCCCCCTCAGCAGCTCTGCAAAGGTGAAAAGTTGGTCATTGCCCACATGAGCATTGAAGTCCCCTAGGAGAACTATAGAATCCCCAGGTGGCACCCCTTCCAGGACACCACCAGAGACTTCAAGAAGGCCAAATACTCTGAACTGCTGTTTGGTGCTTACACACAAACAACAGTCAGAGTTTTCCCTTTCGCAGCATGCAGTTGCAGAGATGCAACCCTCTTGTTCTCCGAGGAGAACTCCAACAGAGTGGAGCTCAGCCAGGGACTTGTGAGTATCCCCACACCCGCCCGGCGCCTCTCACCCTGAGTAACTCCAGAAAAAGAGAGAGAATCCACCATGTCTCCAGCAGTTTGGTTCCGGATCCCTTGCTGTGCGTGGAGGTGAGCCCGTCTATTTCTAGCCGGTTTCGCTCCACCTCCCGCACCAGTTCAGATTCCTTTCCTGCCAGTGAGGTGTCGTCCCACGTCCCCACAACCAGTCTACGCCAGCAGGGGGTGGTATGCCCAGACTGCTGCCCTTGCCTACTGCCTGGTTGCACCAGACTCTGATTTACTGCTCCATACGTGGAGGGCCCCATGGGTGGTGGGCTCCCTGGGCGGCAGCTCCATGTTGCTTCTTCGGGCTGTGACCTACCAAACCCCACAGGGCCACCAGGCGCTCTCCGGTTAGCTCCCCCCCAGGCCTGGCTCCAGGGGGAGGCCCTGCCTTCCCTGTTTGGGGCAAGGTGGCGGCATTCCTATTTTCCATTTTCATCAGGGGTCTTTGAACCCTACACATACAATTATGTGGAAAAATAGACAGGAAATTGTTGACTTTTTCAACATATTTAAACAAGCTAAACAGGGACTCTCTGAAACATCCCATTAATGAAATTGGCATAGTTAAAATTACAAAAAAATGAAATTTTATTGTCATTTACCAACAGATGATTTGAGATACACAGACAGTTGGAGGTATTCTCATGGAATAAGTAGTTTGAACCTTCGGGCACATGGGTTAATGACTCGTTCAATTGCATGAGGATCCATTAAGTATAGATACTATATATTTGATTCAGTTTTTAAAGGAATGTTTTCAGATTAGAAACAACCTGACTGGTATGATGGGACCAGAGCTCGATGACAATGAGCAATGTGTTTATGGCGGTCAGTAGAGCAGAACAGAGTGGAACAGGTGGCTTCCAGGTCCTTTAGGACTGGAGAAGATGTTTATGGACCAATGGAGTTGCTATATTACAGAAATAGAGGGGCCTGGCAACCTAGAGAATACTCAGTCCCGCCTAGGTGATGTGGCTGTGTTCCATACATTTTAATTGGGAACTTCAAGAAGATGGCAATGACATAGCACATGGCTGCTTTGCGGCAAGCTGACTGTGGCCCCAAGAGCTAGACAGAGTACTTTCCACACTTGAGAAATGAACTGTGGCAGTTAGTCTGAAACTATGTCACCTGGAATACTGTGAAGATGGGGAAACATGGTACGTATGAAAAAAGATCAGCCGTTTTTATGGGCAGATGGTGGTTTAGGATTGACTGTGGTGAGAAAGACTGTTACTAGAATGGCCCAGGCTAGTGACAAAATCAACAGCAATAGGAGTAAGGGAACAAGTTGGCTGCAGGTACAAACAGCAAAACACCAGGGGCCTCTTGTACAAAGACTTGCGTGGATTTCATACTGAAACCTGGCGTACGCTTCAATCCTGAAAACTGCGTACGCACAAAAAAATCCAGATGAACGAAAGTGAGCGTACGCCGGAATCCAAGCACATTTCCTTTGTACATCTCACTCAGCGTGGAATTGATCGCACATGCTGGAGTACCAGACTCCTCCCTCTCCACGCCCTCAATTTACATATGCAAATTAGTATAAACAGGGCCGACAGGTGGGATTCCCCTCTCTGCAGGATCAGGTAACAGCAACAAGGATGAACTCACCCCGTTTGAGCAGAGAGTCGCCGCTATTGTGGGTGACGTTGCTGTCACAGGGGTGGTGGGAGCACACGTAGGTCACTCAGATCCCCCCAAGGTAAATATTTATTGTGTAACTCACAGATTTATTCACTACACGGGTCATATAATAATCTGCTCGCAGCCAAACAAGATACAGGTTCTTGTGTAATCATGCCAGGATATCAAAGAGGAAATCAAAACTTTGTCTCATGTCAGATTACTCAATTTATTATTTTTTAACAGACAATGAGGCAGGAGAAGACTGTGAGACGCAGTCCCAGCCTCGTATCACAGACCCGTGGGATTCCTCCAGCCTCCCCGGCGTCAGCCGATCCTCCGGTCCGCCATAACAGCCAGCTGCTGATGCCCGTCCGGGGCGCACATCAACGCATGTCGGGGGGATTAATGTTAGGACAATTAAATGACTTACTCACCAAGAAGCCACCACCGTGCCAGCTTGTAGCCTGTTCTCAACCATACTGTTGGTCAGAATGTGTTTTGATCAAGGCCGCCTCGCAACAATAATTGCATTTGCGCATCACAGATGATCTGTACACTGATTTAATAATAAATGCCTCCTGTTTACATAAACACATGCATCTTGTGATGGTGCCTCTATAGCAATGTGTGTGCAGTCGACAGCTCCGATTACAGCAGGAAAACCGGCCGTCGCTACAAATTGCACTTTTATGTCGCCCTGTTCAGCTGTGGTGTGGGAATTTGATATATCTGGCTGACATTCGGATGGTTCCGTCCCACACAGCTGGCATGGCTCTGCTCACTGTCAACTGGCACAGTCCCGGTCGGTCGGCCAGCTCCGTCTGAAATGACCCTGTGGCCAGGAAGCCCAGTGTGGTCAGCACCTGTATGGGCACAGGTAGGACATGGCTCCTGGACGTGTTGCGCTCCAATAATGGCCGCAGCTTCACGCACAGTTCTCAGCGAATTGCTGTCGGGAACGTAAAGCGGCTGATGATCCAGTCGTCATCCTGAGGTCTCTGGAAACCCGTTCTCTTGGCACTGCTCCATTGGCAATATCCAACAGGTCCAAAGCTGCCGTTGTTGTTAACGGTGTCTTCGGCACCATTTTACGTAAAATTGTATATCCGCTCATCTGATTGCAAACACCTGGGTGTGTTAAGTGTTCATCTTAGTGTCTCTGATGTGCATATCACTTTGAGGAATTACCTTTTTTTACATTGTTTTGTACATTTTTATATTCCCAGCATCACCTCTAAGTGTCGGCAACGGCTCAAAAGCAATAGAAACGTGCGTACGCCAGTCAAGAAGTTGGCGTGGAGGACCGCACATTTCCACGTTCATTTCGCTCTTGATACATCTGAACGTGAGCGTGGATAAGTGCGTACGCCAAGTTTTTGTGCGTACGCACGCTTTGTACATGAGGCCCCAGGACTTGCTTTAGGCACGCACAGCACAGGCATTGACAAATTCACGAGTATCTCAGCTGCTGTCGCCAGATGTTTCTCTGCAGCGACCCAGGAATTATGCCTCTGCTGGAGAACCTGGAAATGAGCAGAGTCTGACACACACAGACTGCTTGGACTGGTATCTAGATTGGGTGGAGAACATCGTTGCTTCATCACCACTGACTCAGTCTCACAGGTGATGGCTGTCACAACACAAGTTGAAGGAAGGATGGTGTCTGGACTGACAGAAGACTCCGCAGGGGAATGTTGGCTGTAGAGACTGCTTTGACATTTTGGAATCCAAGACAGTAAGTGACAGTGAAATAAAGGTAGACAAAAAACAGTGTCCAACAAGACTGCTGCACTTGGTAATTTGGACGTAAATTAGGTTTTTGTGATCTGTCCATGAATGGGTTGTTCAGCTCCCCCCAGCCAATGTTTTCATTCTCCATGGGCAAGTTTGACTGTCAGCAATGATCTGTTCACAAGTTGTGTTCTGCCAGGGAAATACATTGGGGGGAAAAAAGACACCTACCGACATCACAAGCTGGCAAGAGGGGTCAAGTTAAACTAGAAGAGGTACAGAGGTGAAGAGATCTTTTAGCTGGAGGAAAGCCTACTTTATTTCTCGGTGTCATGAAAAAGGAATGGAGGAAAGCCTAGTTAAAGGGGCCCTCCTTATGATATAATTTCTAATAAAGTGGTTATAAAAGTTAGTAAAACCCAGGAAATTTGGAATGGCTTATGTGTGGTGGGTAAAGTGCCCTAACAACTAGAGGGGTTTATAACGGTTCAAGTGCTTTTTCAGATGAAAAGCTAATTTGCAGTTTGTGCAGAGACTGGCTTGAAGAAGCTGGGTGTGACAAAGGTCTGGGGCTGACTGACAATTAAAAGACTACGCTGAGCATAGAATTAAAAAAGGTGAGTGGCAGGCTAAATCCAAGGAAATTGCTGGCAAACAGGCAACTGAAGGTGACCGGCAACCTGAGGCATGAGGCGGTACACCAGACAGTTTTTTTCAAGTAACTGCTGTGGTTTGGCCCACTTGGCGGCTGTGGCTCAGGTGGTAGAGTGGTTGTCCTCTGATTGTAAGGTTGGCGGTTCGATCCCCCACCCCACAGTCAAAGTGTCCTTGGGCAAGACACTAAACCTGAAGTTGCTCCCAATGGCAGGCAGCACCTTGCATGGCAGCTCTGTCGCCATTGGTGTATGAATGTGTGTGTGAATGTGTGAATGAGAAACACATTGTAAAGGGCTTTGAGTCCCGGTAAGGTAGAAAAGCGCTATATAAGTGCAGTCCATCCATATGGATACATTTTACACATTTACAGAAAAATGTCAGCAAATGCATGCTGAGCAAAATTAGATAGACTCCCACTGATATTACCATTCAGAAGGGAGAACTCAAATGTCCTTAGGCACCCTCCATTCTAAAGCCCTATGAACACAAGGTCTGCTTTCAGCCAATTCCCCTAAGTTGCTGCTGATACTAACTGTCAACTCTTGGAGACACTCTGGCCTGACTGTTTTACAACACCACATTTTCAAAGTAAACTAAACCTAAACACAATGCCTCAAAACCTATTTGGCTTTTAGTTTCTTCTTTGTAGCATTCCAAATTTGATCCAAATTTTATCTGGCCCCAATATGACATGACTGAAAAATAAAAGCAGAGATGAATCCTAACCGAGTACAGGTGCAGTGACTACAAACTGGCAATTGAAAAAAGGAAGATGCAAAAGACCATGACCCAGTGTCAAGGCCCAGTATAGGTTTGTGCAAAGAAGAAGAAACCTTTGTATCTTCACTGGTCATATTACGTGTGCCATTTAGATTGTTTTCCAGGGATCCACATGTGATAGGATTTGGACTACTGCATGCAAGTAGAATGAGCAGATAAAAATGTTTCTAAACAGATATTCCTTGAAATGTATTCCCTTAACTTGGTCCTATTTAGGACACATTAAAATAAAAACAATTGTTTTACAAGCAACCACCTCAGATTACAGCCCACATGTGGAGGGCCCAGTGCTTTTCAGACTCAGTCTTTGAGAATCAGCACAATAACTAACTTTCATTATTTTTTGTAATTGTTTGATTGTTTTCTTTTTATTTAAAGAAATGGCTCACAGAAGAGAAGCTGACTGTACTAAAACCAACTGTGATACACAACTGCTGTTTTTTTTTTTTTCTTCTTCATACACTTAGAGGTGAATAACAAACATCAGAGGTGTTTTCCTCTACACTGAGTGAGTAAAACCACTTCCTTCAAGCTGCACATACTCAAATGTGCATGCATTCAACCTATGCCTACCAGCAAGAATCTGCTCGGTGTGTGTTTGTGTGTGGGTGTATGTGTGTAATCTGTTTTGTTGAATGTATTATGTTTATGCTCTGGCCAACCAAACCTCTCACCAGCAAAACCCAGAAAACCTCATGCTGTATCACTAATCAACGAGCGTGACATTGCTGCATGATAAATGTCTGCTGATACGAGCCTTTAAATCCAAAACACCATTTCACTACTGCAGCAAAAGAGGCTGTCATTGATCATCAAAATAAAAAATATGTTGTTATGATTCTGATTTCAAATTCGTATTGGGTATTTTGTTAAGTTTTGCTATCCTGCTGAGAATGTGCTAGTTTTGCAAATGTTACACCATAGGGACAATATCTTCCATATGTGGCCTGCTGTAATCTGAATGACTTCTATGTATTGCCTTGTTTGTCAGTGTCCAAGGGTGACCAAGTCATGTATTAATATAATTACTTAAATACTCTTTACATATATAACAAAGGATGACTGAGGTTAGGGAACTAACATAACATAGCTTGGTTAAGGTCTTATCAAATCAGCCCAGTTACACCATGACCATCACACAGCAGCATATCTGTGTTTCAGATACACATGGCACACTGATTGACTGAGCTTCAGTAGCCTGTAATGTTAGCATAGTCAAGAATAAAACTCGAATAGAGCTGAGCACCACTACCTGATATCCTAATCATCTCTGTCTCCTTCAGTATCACCACATCACATATAACTCTTGAAACCTACCTTCAGATACTGTCACTCTGAATGAAAGTTTCCGTTCATTTGAATTAACGCTACATCACACAGCAGCTGGATCAATATGAAGTGAGCGAGGCTGTGCACAATTCTACAGCAAAAGTACTAGGTTGAACTCAGCATGAATCCAGCACCTTCAGAGCTGTGGATCCATTTTTATTGTCAGCAAATATTGTTTTCTGTGCACATTTCTTTTTTCTGCTGAATGAAATGGAATATTACAGAGTTTTCGTTCTGCTCATTAAATGCAAGAATATTTAAGGGGAATCTTGTCATTTAGATGGTTCAATTAAATCAAAGACACTCAAGTCTAAAAATTCAACAAGAGTAGATGAATGGAATTCAGTTATTTAATATGAAAAATTACATTTATAAAATTCAACATGTCTTTCCAGAGACAGAGTCACTGTTTCTCCTTACAGTCTACATCAACAGAACACAGAGTGTAGAGTTCTCACTAGAACTGTTCACTCTGTGCTCTGCTGGCCATAACTACATACTCCACATATTTTTTGTAATAATACTGTGTTATGACTTTATAACTTTATAAAGTTTGAAATGAAGTATGGGGTTTTGGGTTACATCAGGTTTGATCCCTGTCTTAAACTAAGCTGTGGAGATGCTGATGTTGTGCATTAGATGTGCATTAGATCGTTTTCATATGCTGATCTGTCTACAGAAGACATGAAAGGGCCAACAGTTAACATATGGTCAGTCAAACCAGACCATGCTAGAAGCAACAAAGTTAGACAGATAAAACTAATTAAATTACAAGCTAATGGGCAAAAGATTTAATTGGAATGATATATAATTATGTAGTATAATATATAATATTTTGTATTTATAGAGGAGAGCCTAAAGTTTTGGTGCTGAGGTTAATTGAGGAGATTGTTAAATGAACAATTTATAATGCAAAACCAAAGGTAAATATGAGTAGCATTATTAGGTATTACCTCTACCTTGCTAAACTTTTTTTCTTTTTTTTTTTTTTTTATAAAGTAGCATCTTTCTTTCTTTCTTTTTAAGCTCTATTCTTATAAGAAGCTATAATTGCATGAGGTACATGTGTTTGGTAGCTTGTGTATTTAGTAACAAGTCACACACACACAAAAATCACAGTCTTTACCCTGCAACTGTAGGGAGGGTTACATAACAATATCACAGAGAAAATAGAGTTGTGATACAAACTGGCACTGAGAGAAATACAGGCATTCACTGTTGGGTAGAATGTACAGAGCAGAGAATTAAATGCAGAAAAATGTATTTCTGCTCCTGTGGGTGGTGTGGCAGGTCAAATAATCTTAACAGAAGCTAGACTTAAAGTAGTTTTGCTTGGCCAGCGCATTCTGAAGCACCTCATAGTCTGCTGCACCTCCCTGTCATTCTGCTACTGGGGAAAAGGAGCTCTGGCTTGTTTGTATTTATTTAAACCAATCACCTTGGATGGAACTTAGGGAAGGATGAAACTTCAGTGTTCGCTCACATGAGTGACAGTGAAAAGAGAAAGCCTTGTGAAATGGCCAACCAGTGGCAGCTTCCATCCGGCAACTCAGACTAACTCTGAAGGAACATTTTGGTTTTATTACAACTTGAGTCTTGTTTTTTTTTTTCTTTGTCCATCATTTCTGTCAGATGTGATTTCATAGTAATTGCAGACGGATGGAAAGATGAAAGCAGTGCTCAAAACACAGTAAGACATGTCAAATTAGAGTAACTCATACAAACAAGGTGAACAAATAGAGATTTGGGCAGATCCCCCCATAGAAGTGACAAGTTAAAACATTAAACGAGACAAAGATATAAACTTTGGTGTGTGTGTGTGTGTGTGTGTGTGTGTGAGTGTGTCCAAATATATTATGAGAACCACTTCGCTGTGTAGGCACAGGTGTTTCTTATCCATTAGACACCCAAGCCTTCTGTGTGCGTCTGCTGTGTATGTAAACATGTTTAGATATTAGAGGAAAAGCAGCTGGAAAGATCTTAAAACCAAAGAGTGGGGAAGACAGAGGCTGTGTGTGAGTAAAAAAGCAAAAAATGCAAACTTTTTTTCTACATTCACTTCAGGAAACATTTGGGCCCTCTCGTATTTTGCACCTTTAAAAAAATTAAAATTAAAATAAAAAAATTTATTGTTGAATTATTTTTAAATGAAATAATCAGATTTTTCCTGTGAAACACTCACAATTCAAAGAAGTCAGGCCCCCTAATTGAGTAATTTGTAGAAGCCCCTTTGCCTGCATTTACAGCTTTGAATCTTCCTGATTAAGCCTCTTTGGGCTTTTTGCACATACATTTGCACCGTCTATCCCAACATTCTGTGCACCGTTATCGTCACTCAAGAACAGGCAGAGACTTGAAGCCACTCCAGCATTGGCTGCCTCACTTCATTGTCTTGCTGACAGGTGAATTTTCATCTGTGGAGCAGGTTTTCCTCTGCTGCTGACATGATTGTCAGGTTGTCCCATCTCTGCAGGGGACTTTTTGAAGCTATGTTTGAATGACCGTTGAGTGCTTCCACACCTCCCTGCCGGATGGCCAGCTCTCAACCCTTACAGTGATATGGGCAACACAGAACAACTGTATCATTTGATGTGTGCCAAGGGACACTTGAAGCACACATTCAGTACACCACACCAACAGGTAAATATGCAAAAGTAGCTGCTTTTGGGTTGAGCTGACTAGAATCTCTGCTGGCGAATAGGACAATGGCATACAATGACACACAGATGGACTGTGTACATGAAAACTCATGGGTTTCAGGTTGTTGACACATATGCCACTGCTGCTTGTGTCCACACAGAAGTCAACAAATTGTGCTTGTACACAAGAAGAATCAGAAACAAGAAAAAATTATGGACTTACCAATTTGTCCCTTCTGTTCCTTCTCTACCTGCATTGCGGTCCTTATCACTGCTGAAGCTCAAATTATTCTTTCCATGTTTTTAAAACTGAAAAGTTCTGTAAGGTTGTGTGCGTTCTTAATTTCATCAGGGGAAGATCATGCATACTGTATGTACTGAATATGTAATTTCACTTAAGGAGACAGAGATGTGTGAAAACGGGATGTGAGCACTTTTGAAATACAGTGACCTACAGCTGAATATAGAGCCTGACTTTAAATACGAGCCACCACTGCTGATGTACTCTGCTAATGTGAGCTCTCATAACACCTTCTAATGACCATACTTAAGAGTACTTATGCAAATGTAAAAAAGCAAAACAAAACAGAACAAAACCTAAAAATCCATTAGTGAGCCTTAAACAATATACAAGGCAAGGTTAATGACGTATAGTATGCAGAGCCTTTTTATCATAATGAAGAAAAGAACAGTGGAGGGAAGGTAGCAAATGAGGGAGAGACGTAAAAAGGACTGGACGAAGAGATTGATGGGATGGGGGATTGCTCTATCAGTACAGTGTGAATGTTAGTGGCACCCGTGAGTTTGAGGACATCTGCTTTGTGTTAAAGACTGCACTGGGCCTCTCACATGATGAAATCCAGCCTGGCGCTTAACAGCACACCAAGACACTGTCATTGGTCTCTCCTCCTCCTGCCTCACTAGCCAATAGAGAACCAGCAGACCCTGAGGACACTTTCCAGTTCCCTTGCAAACCATCTTCCTACAGCTTTCTATAGTTTGGTCCCTCTCAACCTGATTTTATGAAGCATTAATTTCCTGTAGGAACTTGTACTTTGAACATCTGTATGTAATAGGATAAAGAAGCTGTGACAAATAATGACACGGATGATCTTCTGGATTTCTTGATTTATCCCTTCTTTTTTAAAAATCACATTTGATACAGTTGACCTTATGAATTAATATATTTTGCACAAATGTTTGTAGATTAAAGAAATAACTCTAGAAACAATAGAAAAACAAGCAAGCTAGATTTATTGTATAAAAGCACATTAAACAGTGCTTTATAGTATAAAACCTTGAACAGCCTCTACAGTTTAAACTGCAGATGATGTGACTGCAACATGAGCTGGACAACAGCTGTGTGGGTTTCCCCCTCTATTGCCTTGGCAACCAGAATCCCTCACAATAACAAACTGGCTAACATTTCTTTCTTTTTTTGTTTTCCTTCTGCTGGGTCTTGCGTCACTCAAATTCTCTCTGCATAAAAACCTCCCACCCCAATCTCCACTCTCTACCCCTGTGACACGTTTCTCACTCTGTCTCTACATTCATTCGACTTTACATTTCAGTCTCCATGCAGTTCAGTTTTGCCTTTTTTGATGTTTTGGCACCTATAGAACAAAACTGTAGTATGAAACCTCATGTGATATGTGTCATATGTGCACTGTGTGTAATTTGAGGGTTGTTGCTAAAGAGCTATCTATACATGCACATGTTGTAAGTTCCTTTGAGGGGGCTTTGTCAAGTCATATAACATCTTGTAATGTCACACTGACATCATCAAAATAATATCTTGGCTCAAGCTTGAAGCCATAAGTTTTCAGCAGAAAGCCTGCATAGTAAACTGGGATGTGGTATGAGAGGTGTTAGAGCAGTGCTATCAGTGGGGAGGTCTAACATAAAGATGCTTTTGATGTGTGCTACAGAAAGTTTATAATGCAGTGTTTTTGGAGGTTGACCAATTGTAGGTACTGAAAACATCAGGGGATCTCAACTGCTTTACATATTTTAAAAAATCCATAGAATGTCTTTAAGTAGTTGAGGATGTGTTCATAGTTACTAATGACATATTCCCAGATGGTTGCTAAGAAAAGGCCAGAGATGCTCAGTGGTTGTTCACTTAGAAGTTATTAGGCAGTTGCAGTAATGCTAAAGTGTTAGAAGTGGCAAAGCGTATTTGACTAGTTTGACGATTGACTAGGATGTTACAAAGTAGTTGCTATGGTGTTCTTGGTGGTTGCAAAGACATTGTTTGGTAACCTATAAAAGTTTTGGCTGCTGCTGTGATTATTGTAGATTTCTTTGGGATTCTCATTTACAGTCATAAGTAGCAGTAGTTACTATTTGCATTAATGCAATTCATATTCTTAAATTTGTGTTGTTAGTATCCTTGTGTTCCTCTGTTTTTTTATTTATATTGTGTATTGATAGTTTGCTTTTCTTACTGTCACTTTGCTGCTGTAACATGCAAATTTGCCCTTGTGGGACAAATAAAGGATGTTCTATTCTATTCTATTCTATTCTATTCTATTCTATTCTATTCTATTCTAGTAGTTGTGACTGCAAGAGTAGCATTTGTGCCAGTAGTTGTTAAGTTTGATTTAGGAAGCTAATGAGACAGATCAAAGAGACATTACTGCCTGTTGCCTGCTTACTTCAATACTATCAGTTTTATTAACTGCAGCTGTGTCTCACCTCTAGTAGCCGGTGGACAAGGTCTGTTAAAAGTGTTTGCAGGTTGACTTTTTTCATAGCATCAATGTAATCAGGTACAGCATCAGACTAACACAATTGCCAGAAACTCAGTTAAACAAAGTTTATTTTGTGATTGTGAAAGTATATTTTAGATGTAGTTGGCAGTCTTATTACATGATTTGTCGGACATTGTTGCAGTTTGTTGTTGGGTGAAACATCTTAGTCTTGTGCTGTCTTGTTATTTCATTATCTCATAACCCTTTCTTCACTTTTCTTCTTCCCACACATTGTGTTGCTTGGCTCTGTCGATGTCTTGCACTCTGTCTGTGCTGTGTTACATCATTCTTGCTCTTAGTCTGACGCTCTTACTGAGGTCAGTGCAATTGCAATGGTGTCATTATATTCATACTAACACACACACACACACACACACACACACACACACACACACACACAAATGCATGCACAGCTGGGCCTTAGCTCATTCTCTCGAG